CTCTCCCCCCACCCCCATTTCTCTGGTCCCCAATTCAGACTAGAATCTGATCCCCATGATCCCCCTAGATCCCTTTAAACCTCTCTCCCCCCTCTTCCCCTTGTTACTACTGATTGGTTTGCCTTAAACTGCGTTAACTCTACCCTCCCTTATATTACTGTATTGCCTGATGATGAATTAATCGAAAACGTTCGTTCGCCTAACTTGACTTCCTTAATGCTCACATGAGTATCATAGCTGAACTAAAACAATTAAAGTTTAAACGCGTAGAAAAATCAATAATTGTCTGACGCAGGCGTCGATTGGCCACTGCCTCCGCGTCAGACAATTATTGATTTTTCTACATGTTTCAACTTTAATTGTTTTGCAAAGTTACTGGACTGATGAAGATTTGCCGAAAACATTTTTGCCAAAACGGACTTTTCAGATTATCAATCTTTCGCAAATTTCGGCATTCCGCATGAAATTCCGACCACACTGTACATCAGCTCGTTGGGAGTAGGAGGATTAAAAACAGGATTCAATGAGGGAGATGCGGTGAAGCGAATGCAAAAACAGTGTGGAAATAGGGGGTGGGGGGAGGGCGTGCGGTTGGCGAAGAAAGAACCGGTGTTTCGCTTGTCTCATACCTGTTTTTCATGTCCCTCGCCCTCCTCCAGCTCGATGTAGCTGGCTTCACCGATGCGCGTTGTGATCTCGTAGATAAGGGCTGCAGACAGGAGACAGTACTCGCTGACCGCAGGCAGGAGATAGAAAGTAGCCTGTTTGGTGGAGGAGTAGTGCGACGGCTTGTGGCCCTCCATATCGTAGTCCTCGTCGAGGTGCAGGGTTGTGCGGATTTTCTCTACGATCACGTCAGCCCACATGCACAGATTTGTGCTTAGAATGTGGATGAGGGAAGCACCAAAGAGTTCATTGTTGTGCAAAATCACAATCTAAAAGGGAAAAGCACACAGGTTGTTCGACCGACAGTACCGAGGAGGAGGAGGAGGAGTTTAAAACTACATGTAAGGTCGTGTAGTGCAATAATCAAACCGA